AATTAAAAAAGGCTATTAATAGGATGTTTGTTGGAAGATAGAAAGAACCTACAAAAAAATAAAATTTCTATGGTCAATTGAAATGTTGAAAAAAGAAAACAAACATATAATATGATAGCATCACAAAATAACTACCTTTAAGTATCTTAGTATACCCCTACTTCTATAACCAACCAAAAGGCACATCCAAAGAAAACCCGAATTTCAAGGGTCAGGTGCTTACCCTTCGCCATCAAACTTTCTATATCAAATTCATTTTGTTACTCCAACCATGTCAAACACCACAAGCAAATAATCATTTAAGAGATACACATGTGCACTACTTAATTAAAAGTACAGGCCAACACAGGCTAACTAAGCATCAAAATAAAGGTCATAGCCAATCAATTGTTATAAGAAAAAGTATGCGAAAGCATCCTATGACAAAGCAACTAAACCAGTCACTTCACACACACAGACACACACCAAAAAAAAAAAAAAAAAAAAAAAAAAAAAAAAAAAAAAAAAAAAAAAACAAATCATGGAACGTATAGAGACAATATGATACGGAGTACAAAATAGTAGCTTACATAACAATGTGTTTGGATAAAAGGATTTAGTTACAATATTTCTTTTTGTACATGTATTATGGTGATGATGGCTGACTCTTAGAGAATATTAGCTTTTACCATAAGTCCATGGTACAGAGACTTGGTCAATCTGCAAGATGTCCAATTGTTTGATGAGGATAATTCGGTCTTGTTCATATTGAGTGTAGGTTTGTTAGCGAGAAACTTGGGTGAGCAGAATGGATGATTCAGCTCCTACTGGAACAATAAACAGCCACAACGCAATGTTTATGATAGTGGATTGGTAGAGTGGTACCACGTATGTCTCTTTAGAGCAAGGCAAATGAGCATGCACAGGACCTCTTTGGGAGTACTTCAAGACTTATGTCACAAGATACAAGAGAGAATTTAGGAATCTACAGGTGAGGGGTAGTCTCAAGAAAAGTTTTCTTGATAGCTGTTATAAGGTCTCTTGTTGCTAGGCTTCTGATGTAAGCAATTCTTTCTCTTTGGATAAAACTCTCAATTATTCCTCAATATCTACTGTATATTTCACTACAGTTTCCTCAAGCAGTTAAGTTGTTAGGATAGAAACTCATGCTTCAGGGAAGCCATGGAGGTGAAATGACAGTCCATAAATTCTAATTCGCCTAGGAAAAATAACTTAGACAATACCAAAAACACTCTACTGTTATTACCTCCAGGGGTCAAAGAAACTGCAGCTTTCTTTAAAATATCTAAACCAGTGAAACGTGCAAGTGTAGCTGGAAGAGACAATGATGATGTTGAGAATATAATAGGCATTACTCCAGCACTGTTCACCTGCATAAAAAAAATTATTAGATAAAAAAGAGCGAAGAGAATAAAATAATTAGTTGATATCATATAAAAGTTATAAAACACATTGGCTCACTTATTAAAGAACAGAGGGTGTACAAAACTTGTCTTGATCTTTTTTTCTTTTTATATTTTTAATGGGAAGCCTTGATCATTGTTAAACCCTTCACTGTTGTCAACATCAAATAGAATTTGCAATATTTATTAAAGCTTGTAAAATTTAATCAATGCCTTCAAAACCAACTAACCTTGAAGGGCAGATAAGCAGACTTTTGAAGTCCTCCACTTCTACTAGAGTATCTTGATGCATAGTTCATTGGAATTTTCCTCTCAGCTTCCTGAGACATTTCGTCAAAGCCCACATAAGCATCTAGCTTCTCCTGTAATATATACCTCTTACACTATATATCTTCTTCCTTACCTGAACATATACAATACCAAACACCAATGACACAAATGATGCAACTATGACGGCAAGGCCAGTGTAATTTCCCTCTTGATATGCCTCTGCAGCTGTCCTTCCAAAAGATGCTGGCAAGTACGAGATGATGTTGGTGAAGATCAGTAGAGATGTACCATTTCCAAGTTTTAGGTCAGAGATACGTTCACCAAGGTATGTTGTAAATGCTGAACCAAGTGTTAACAGGATAACAGATGAAAGAACCCACTCAGTGGTGAAGTCATTGACATAGGGACGTAGAAAAAGCACTTGGCCGATTGCCTGTCATAAAATGAGCATTTTCTCTCAATGCACCACAAAGGTTTTTTTTTTCTTCAGGCAAAAGTTGTTAAAAACATCAAGCCAATACTAAAGCATTCATGGCTTTTGATAAAACCATCAAATGATAAAATTGATTTCTGTGATCAATATTCAAGTTGAAGAATAATAATTGGAAACTTATAGTTGCACAGGAGAGTAAGTCACACTAGATTTATATGGAAAACCACAAATCAAGAAACCTCTGATAGTTCATCATAGAAATAAGCTGAAGCGCATAGGCTTTTGGGTTAAGGACAAACAAAATGAAGTCATGCACTCAATATTTCTAAGTACTGTAATTAGGTAGTTATAATGATTAATACAGCCAGAAGGATCTGCAGACAACATTCTCACTTATTATAATGATTTATACAGCATGTAAATTCCGATGTTAAAGTTGTATGTATCATTATGGTGAGGAAGGATGATAGCAACAACTATTGAGCTACCAAATCAGAAACATTAGAGCTATAAAGACAATTCAGTAGGGTCTCAAATATGCACTAAATCAGCACCAAACATCTAAAGTACAAATTGATCGTGGTTACTTCACTTTTTGTAATAATAGTATATCATTTCTTGTACGGGAAATTTTAAGATTTGGTATCTATGTCCAAATTGTAGAAGATTTTCCAGTGAAAATTCTTAAGAGTCGACAAGGTTAGCTTTTCATATTTGTATGTAACTTCCTCACCTGTACCAAAGCGAACCCCACTGAAGCATATTGGGTATACTTTTGAACCTTTTTCCTCCCTGCTTCGCCTTCTTTTTTCTGAAGATCTTGCAATTTTGGGTAGACTTGGGAAAGGAGTTGAAACACAATCTGAGCATTAATATAGGGAACAATTCCAAGGGAGCATATCCCAAGTCGTCCGATTCCACCCCCAGAAAATGAATCCAAAGTACTAATGAAACTGTTCTGATCCAAGTTACCCACAAAGGCCTCTCGATTCACACCACCAAGAGGCACATATATCCCAAGTCGAGACAATGCCAATAACCCCAACAGTTTCAGAAATTTCCCAGGTAATGGGCCTTTAAAGAAGTCCCCAAAATCAATGGAACTATCTTCAATTGCAGCTGTCAATTAACACTACCAAAATTAAAAAGACTCACTCAGACAACAACCACAGAAAAAATTATGAAACATTATAAGAACAAAACCTGTCAAAAATCACACCTGCAACTCTTCGACCTGATGATGTTCTGTCTTTTCGTGTACTTGAACTACTCTCAAAAGTCTGTGAAACAAACTTCAGAACACCATCCCAGGTACTAGCTACATCCCATGACTTATCTTGCTCAATACCCAATGGATCAAACACTGAGCTTTCACAACTGCAATGAGAAAACCAACCATTTTCAAGTCAAAAAATGCTATAATTCAGATTTATTGCAAGTTAACCTTGACTAATGAACACTCAAAGATCAAAGGTATCCACTTCCTCAAAGGTCACAGAGAGCATAAAACTGCAACAATTCTTCAAGAAATTAATAGAAATTCACAAGCTTGAAAGTTCCAAATAAAAAAATTAAGCATCTATCATAGTTCGGGATGTCCATTATACGGATGTACCATATACACGGCATACGTTATATCCACACTCAATTTTTTCTCATATAGGGCTCCCTCAATTGAGAAAATAAGCCAAAATACAGCCTTGGTTGTACGATACACCTGGATGTACAATGGTAATTGCTCTCTCCAAGTTAGCATACAGAAATTTACTACATATACTAATCTGAAATGAAGCAAGGTTCAACATTTGTAATTAACTCTAAGAAATTAGAGGCACCCACCTCCTCAAACTTGTTACAGAGAACATTAAACAGTTAAAATGCATCAATTCCAACAAAAATTAAAGGAAAACACTAACCCAAATGTTTCATTGAACAAAATCATATACACCCAATTACCAAAATATTAATTCAAGCAAGAATAGAACAATATTACAAACACCCAATTGCCAAAATACTAAAGTCAGCAAGAATTAGCTCATATATTATTATTATATTATATATACAGAAAGAGGGAAAAAAAATTACCTGGAAGTGGTAGTGGAGGAGAGAGAAGCAGCTGCAATCCAAGAGGTGGGTTTGGTGCGGAGGCTAAAGGTAGGTTTACAGGCAAGAATTCTGGGCTTATGATGGAATTTAAGAGGGGAGGAGAGAGAAAATGAGAAGATAGAAGAAGTAGAAGCAGTAGCTGCTGCTTCTGTAAAAGTTGCTAACATTATCACTGATGAACTTCTTCTCCCCTGTTTGTTTCTCTTTCTCCTCCTCTTGCTCTTCCTCAGCTAACTTCTGGTTTTATGAGGGACCCAGTTTTCATTTTTCTTCGATTGCTCTTTATCCTTTGGCTATTTTCCAAAAAAGTTAAAATCTTAAATATTAATTTCGGGTATACAAAAGCTATTTGATGATTCCCGGATTATCATCATGATAAACATAGGTTATTTATCAAAGGGTAAAACAATAATATTATAGGGAAAAATAGGATAAAATCGCTAATGGTGTTAACGGTATTAGCCATTTAAAATTTAGGCCATTTATTTACAAGTTTTCCAATTGTCAAGAACTTGTATTTTTAGATTGTGTCGAAAAAAAAAAAGAAAAAAAATTGTATTTTAGATACCAAAACAACCCCCAAGTATGAGTATTTTATATAGTTTACCTATATAAATCTTCAGATTGACATCAAACACTAGTGATAATACATGATTATATTATGCCAAGTTGAACTGGAAAGATCAAACTTCATAACGACCAAACCACTCAAAAGAAATTTTAGTACGAAGATGCAACAAAATATATACAGTTGCTAAACTGATACTAAAGGAAAGAAAATCCAGGAATACAACCAATTATCGTGTATGCAAACCATTAAAAAATACAAAAAGAAAATAACAGGGATATGCTATATATATCGTCGTGTTATTAGTGTATAGTACATCTATATATGATTGTCATATTTCCGTGACAAGTACAGGCAGTCAGGCATTGAACGATCCCGGGTTCAAAAAATTCAATTTCATTTTATCAAATACTATATTGCTACCCAGTACATAATTCCTGTAAGTAAATTCAATGAATTGCTTGTCCAAATCTTCACTTTGTTGCACATTGCAATTCTCGAACAACTCTCTCCTGTGTGCACCAGCAGGTAATTCAGATGCAAAACAATGCAGATGATGGCTGACCAAGAGAAATATCCAGCAATTTTGTGTACGGCTTAACATTGGCTTCTGCTCTCATGGCTTCTTTTCGCCATTCAGCCTTTGAACATAAGTTTATAAGATTTTCTATACATATATATAGTATGTGCTCAATCATCATCAGGAGCAGAAAAATCAGGCTCTTCCGGTTTCTGCAGCTTAATCTTCTGAGCACCTCTCCTGGTGTTTGCTGCAAATTTTGAAGCCAAAAATGTCACTTTTAGGCTTGATACTGCCCGAGGAGTTGCACACGATTCATACTCTCTAGTATCGTCATCATCTCTCTCAGACGCGAAAGAATCCAAGGATGAAAGACCTTTTGCTGTCCTTCTCCTCTGGTACCGCCGCCAAGCAGCTTGTATAAAACAGGCAGCCCAGGTCCTCCAATGGTGAGAGTAAAACCGAAATGTATGCTGAAGTTTCTTGCTGTGAAGGCGCCTAAATTGATTGGCTACAAACTTCAGATCTTCTGCTCTAAGGGCAAAGGCTTCCACTTCAACAAAGGCTCTCACAGTTCTGGTTGAAGAAGGAAGATTGAGAGAGGATTTTGGATGAAGAGCCCAACCAAGCAACTCTTCACCACAAAAGTCTCCAGGTTTCAAAATAATCGAGTTAAAAAATCCAGTTCGACCTCCATTTGTGGTGGAACTCTCCAATCTACCTCGAATGATGAAAAGCATCTCTGTCACAGGATCACCCTCTCGAACAATATATGTACCCTCTGTACATAATGAAGATACAAGACGTTCACATATTGCATCGAGTAGCTGATCATCCATCTGTGAGAAGAAAGGAACCTGCATAATATAGAGTAGCTGGTTAGTGTGTGGCATCAAAACAGAGCATATAGAGAAGGTTATTGTACGAGCAAGATATTATTTGAAAGTAAATGTTGTGGGCAGAACTCAAATGTAAGCGAGACACAGGTATAATCGCTTCAGTGACCAGTACAGAAAACTATGAAATTGGCCGAGGTAGATGACAAAACCAATTGAGATATACAGTTCCATGCACCCTTTCAGAGTAGGAGAGAGCAGGTTTGCCAGAAAACTCACTCACCAGTCACCAGCCAACAACTGCAATTGAATTTATCGATTTGAATGACGGATCATCAATTTTATCACTGATCCAAACAAGGATTGACAGTGAATTTATAAATTAGCAAATTTATAATTTATGAGCCTGAGTTAATAACTTAACAAATAAAAAAAGAGTTAACAGTTTCATGTTAATCTAACACTTGATTTGAACTTCACTCGTAGGTAAAAATAAACTTGATTTGGACTTTTCACATATTGGTAGAATAAGTTCGCCCAAAAAAAAAAAAAAAGAATAAGGCAATAACGGCTTTCCTTGACAATCTGGAATAAGAATTTATTACAAAGTAATAGCTTATTTGGTACTATCTTTGTGTTCTTACTTTTCGTTTAATTGTTACTTTATTAATCTTCTTACTTGGTCTTTATTCCTTTTATGGCAAAAAAATTTCTCTTTTTAACATCCCATAGTTCACCACATGCTTTCTCTGTTCCAATAGACCAAAAGTGATTCCATTCTCATCTTTGATCACAATAAGTACACTCCACAGTTCCAGGAAACACTGGAAACGAAATTCCTAAGTACCAAAAGGTAAGCATCTAAACAGGGACACAAATGAACAGCCAGATATTCACAGTTAGCACAACCTGCCTTCATGCAGGATCGTGACGCCCTGTAAAAAGAGGCACAAACCGTAAATATTAATATATTTTATATGTTTTGAAAACACAGCTTTGTTGTATTCTGTCAAAGCCCTCAGCCAACTGACAGAAACAGTCCTCTTGATTTAACGATTTATGAAACGGACAGAGGACAAAGAAGGTATTGCAGAGAGATAAAGCAGGCAACAGAGGACAAAGAAAACACATCAACCTTTTGATGTATAAGCAATGAAGCCTATGATACGTAAGAAAACGCAATTTTCAAAGACCCAATTAATAATTTTTTTGAAGGTGTCTTGCTGCATATAAACATGTTGGGATATATATATATATATATATATATATATATATATATATATATATATATATATATATATATATATATATATATATATATATATAAACACACACTACCTCTGTTTCAATTTATTTGCAACAGTTACCATAAATGGATACTACAAATAATTTGCAACAAATGTTTTCTTTCCTTTTTACTTGTCATTTCTTTCTATATCTCTCCTCATCACATGCAACGTTATTTTTCTGTCCCCATATTCACTCACAAACAAATTTTACCTAGATGTCATTATAAAGATGATATTTCTAGGTTTTTTCCCTTGTGCAATGACCACACCAAGCTAGCTATATCTCAATAATGAAGCATATTGTATCTGACAATCTTCCTAGCTGGTAAAAATGAACTAAGAAAAATCAAAAACAGAAAAGAAAGAAATATTGAAAAAGGAGGTCACGCTGATATCTCAACTCGAGCAATAAACATTGAAAATCTAAATGATCTTCCTACCAGGTATCTAAGCTTTAGAGCAATAAACATTGGGTACTGAAGGCATACCCTTCGAACAAGATCTAAGCACAGGTGACGCTGGATGTCTCTACGTAGGTCAACAGGTAAGCTAGTCAGGATTGCTTCTTCATCCACACCTCGAGTTGCAAGCCATTTATACTGTACAAAACGTCGGACACGCTGTCTCAGATCTTCAGGGAGTTGTCGATGCCTCATCCACTCTTCAGTATCTCTTCGCTTGAGTCTCCACTCCTCAAGCCTTACAGTGATGGATTGGAGATAAGTCTACATAAAACACATTAAATTCAAGGATTCAGAAAAATAATCTGCAATCTTTTATTAACGCACAGGACAATCACAGCCATAAGAAAATTTTCATCACAAAAATCCCACTCCTTTTTAAATGAGACAAGTCTGTGACTGAAAAATCGTGATTCCATCCAAATGGTTCTCTATCTTCCTTTATAATGTTTTTTTACAAAAAAAATACCTCTTTTTACCATACAAAGTTGAATCAACACGTTAAGATATTGGCCAATTTTCTAGTGCAAATTCAACAGCCCACTCAAAAGAACTTGAATACGGAGTAGTATCTACTCAAGCATCCGACAATAATCATTAAAAACACACACGCACACACACACACGCACCCTATATTTCAAGTCTTTCCTTCACAAATCACAACCTATTAACCTTGGGGACGACATGTCAGATGCAGGTTGCTACCACATTGGTAAAGGAGTAAAACTTGGTGCAATATCAATTTTCATAGTTTGAAAGCACATCTTAAATTCATGATGCATGAACGTCCATCCCATATTTCAGGCTAAACAATATGAAATTTCATAGGGAATCTTTTAATAAGGGTACAAGGATTGGATGGGCTAGGAAAATAATAATGTCAAAAAGGAGCTGCTGAAGAGTGGTAATTGCACAAGGGAAAAAACCTAGAAATATCACCTTTATAGTGACATGTTAAAAACAATTTGGACTCTACATTACCCAAAAAAAGGGCTCTCACACAGTCGCACACTTCTGTTATGAATCTTATGATTATCATTTGTCTCATTGTAAAAAAACAGACCACAAAACTCTAGAGCAGCAAGCAAGTGCAGTCAAGTTAAAATTGATCACTACAAGCAGAAATATTAATCACGAACAGTGCGGATTCAGAGAATGAAATGACGACCAAACCAATCCTCAACATTGAGAAGCAAAACTTTTTCAAGCTATTATTTGTCATTACAAGGGATACTTCAAAATACATACATCCATAAATGTTAGAGGATTAGCAGTATTACCTGCATATTCCCAATCAAATGTGCAAATAAGACAAGACCCAAAATTGCAATGAGTATGGCAAATGAAGTCTCCCCAATTAATGTGCTTGTATTTAGATTCTGCCCATATGAGCTGTAATAGACATATGGAAAGGCATATTAGCATCTTTTAGACAAAACATATCCATAAGACCATAATAGCATTTTGACATTTGACGTATGAAACAGCAAAGGCACACTAGGTTTTTTTTTTTTCACAATGTAAAAATAAAAAATAAAACTTCTACAGGTCCAGATGTAACATTTAAAACAAGAAATTAGATTAAATGAAAAAAGACATCTATTACACCAGAGCTACCACGATAAAGTCTCCTAACCAACTTCTAGAACATCTAGACTCCTTTACAGTCTCTAACACATGATGGCTCCATAGGGCTCAACCAAAGTCACTATAATAATTTTGTCTCTAGTCGTCTTTCAGGCATTTGCTCCAAAAAAAAAAATCGTATCGGTTATCGCTTCCCTTTCCAATACCTTTGAACAACCCAAACCTTCAATTTCTTGAGCAAGAGAAAAACAAGTTCCAAATAAAGTATTCCCTCCATAACACTATGACAATTCACAAAACAGAAGTGTGATAGATTTGACTGGGTAAGTAACAATTTGGTTAAAAAAAAAACCTCGGGTGACATGTTTGGTAAAAAAAATAAAGTGACCCTTGCGACAAATCAGTAAGAATAAAGAGTTCCGGCAACAACCAACCAGAATATAACCCTAAAGTGAAAATTTGGGTTTTAATGACACCGGTATTTATTTTTCACGCAATCACTTTTTCTATTAATTGGCCCAAATTAATAATCTCACCCATTTTTATAAAAATTAACTGTTGCATTAGCTTTTATTTATAAAAATAAACAATAGCATTAGCTTTTAATTAAACTATTCCTCAATTACTGAACTCTAGAAAATTGAATAAGAAGATGTATCGCTATTATTCTAGTATATCAAATATATGTCAATGATGGTTTTGAGGGTCTACCTTAATTGCTGCAAGCCCCACCATAAACAATAGAAGTACTTCCGGATAAAATTGGAGGATACGACATTCTTCTTTACTGCATCTTCAAAAATTCCATATGTGAAGCTCTTACTTTGTTTTGGATCACAGTTGCTGAATACACTAGTTGTGTTAGCCCAAGCCATACGCTTTATATTGTTGACCATATTACAATCTAAAAAATGAGGCTCGCATTTTTGAGGGACTTTTTCATGTCTGCAGCTGAACTTCCAACAGTGTGTATACCTCTCAATTGAAAGTAAATACCATGCTGCCCCAAGAACCTGCAAAACAGCAGCATAGTACATAGCAGTTGGATCAGGCAGGACAGAAAGGAAAATAAAAATAGCGACAGAAGAATATCCATTGATCTCAATTTCTTTGGCATATCTGTTATTATGAGGATAATCATAACTTCTTTCCATCACACATCATCAAGAGATATCTCAGAACGTAACTGATATAATGTGCCAAAATGATATAAATACTTTTTTGGGAGGGGGGATGTTTGTGGTATGATGGAAAATCTCAAACTAAAAAAAAAAAGGGAATGATGAAAAGTATCAATAATTGCCTACTCTACAGTACAGGTGTCTACGGAAATACAAAGTTTTGAATTTTTTTAATTTATATATTTATCTCATTATTTCTGATATAAAGTATCAATAATTGCCTCAGTATTACTACAGAAAAGGATAAATAAAGGATTTGGAAAGCTAACAATTTTTTTTTTTTTTTTTTTCTTCTCAATAGATAGAAAATAAAAAGGATATCTCCATACTTGAGGCTAAAGCAAATTTAGCAGAAGTTTCAATCCTGAAAAATATCAGCTTTTATACTTGATTCCAATTATATACCAGGCTTTTACAAGATCAAATTGCATGTATGGAACTCCCAGTTTATTAGATGTGACTTTGTGTGCATGTGTACAGTTCAGCTAAAAGCACAAATAATAAGAAATACATACATGGCTAGCTAGGATATATAACAATAGATTGTATGCTGCACCAGCCCATGCAGTCTTTGTGACAACTCCGGTGGCCTTTATGATTTCAGAACTCAGGGGGAAAATCAGATACAATCGAGGAATATACTGAAGCAAAACAATGAGCGCAAGAGCATTGTTGTTGTGATCAGTTCTTGGACTTCTCGATGCAGGTATGATGAACCAGATTACAAACTGCAAAGATATATGGAGAAAAAAATGTATATATAATATTGTCTCAAAATGTTATATAAAAATGAGTAAATTAGAACAAAGTTTTCTAAGGAAACATCCCTTTCATAAAATACTAAATCCTTGTAAGCTTTGAATTTTCTTTATCAGAAAATAAAAAATCCATCGACATTATGAAAGGTCAACTTCTTATTTCTTAAGATGGAAAATCAGGATTCCATGAGTCCATACAAAGATATGAACACAGAATGTAACCTTATAGTGCTACACATCTTTATGAAAGGATACTCATTTGAGTCATTACTGACTTAACTATCTATTTAAATAACTAATATACACAAGTACATAACCACTAAAACTCTTTCCAGTCAAAAATTTTAACCCAAATCCCAATAAAAGCATTTATTCAATATAACTATACATATACATAAACACTTGACTGCTTTAGGAGAAATACCTACATCTCAGTAGCTGCATAAAACAAACAGTAGGTTTTTAAATTAGTTCCACAAGACTCTTCTTTCATAGCAGGTCCAATTACTAGATGACTGCTTTAGTATCCAGGTCAAACTTCAAAGTCTTACTGATCTAATAGCATAGTTTAGGTTCATGCTCTCCAGTCTGTGTTAGCAGTGGCATAAATGTCCTAATTACTAAAGTTGGTAGCCTTAATTTTTCAACATTCTAGAGACAAAGCACTGTCGTTTATGTTTAGCTGACAATTCTCAATTATTGCTGGTTTCTGTGCAAGGAACAATTTTAAAGGCTTTGGATGACAAATCAGGCCTGAAAAAGCCATCTCTACTGCTTTTTAGGCTGTTTATATGTATCCAAGAAAACAATTTGCTTCAGCTCATCAGATGGGATGGACGGTACTTTTGATAATTGGTCTTCCTACACTCTTAAAAGTTCCATTTGAGCTTCTAACTTCTTGAACAGAGAATAAATATGGGAACATGTACTGCTTCAAGCACTATTAGCAGTTATCAAAGAGATAGACGGCTTTATGCAGGAGGTACCATAGTCTATTTTGCAGTTCATAGTCCCCTAGCATCAAATCACAAGGGCAGCAATCCTAAAGATAAAGTATGCAGAAACCTGTCTTTTGAGAAATCAAATGCAAGTATGCAACTGCAATTACTACCTATTCTTGTTAAAATCAGACCAGATACATCAGAACAGAAAAATTCAGACCTCACCAGACCAAATTATGAAGATAACAATTTAGTCAAGACACAAATATTAGACCAGAAAAACTTTCAGACCAGACCAGAACAAACCTTAAACAATAGAAGTCAGAATAGCTCTATTAATGTGAAGAGAAGAGCATAGCAACCTTTATCAATACTAATTCCTTGGGTTTGAAGGAGAATCTTGACACCTAGAACTTTGGCTATTGATTGCGTAGAATGGGTGATAGATGAAAGTGGTTTCTCAAAAAAAATGCTTGCATATAGCCATATAGCTGGATAACTGATTAAAACTAATAGTAATACTTCCAAGAAAGATACTGTTTCTTACTTCAAGTCAGAACCCACATGGATGGCAAACAAGGCTGACATAATAAAGGCTAGGGATACTACATACCATAGTTCTGCACTTCTGCCAATGCCTGCTAATGAGTATTATAGGTGATAGATGATATCTCCTGGCATACACTATCTTCACGTAGCTTGTAATCCCAAGGCATAACTTGGGACAGATTTCACAAGTTATACTCTACCAAGGAAGTGCTTGCTCCAAAATTGTTACTAGATTTACTACAGCCTTGAGCCTTCACTTCGTATTCTGCCACCAATACTCTATCACCGTGGTCAAAAATTCCTGTAGTTTCAGTCTTTCAGAAGTCACTAAGCTTAAGATAATGGATAGTGTTCAATGTTGTTTGGTTGTCTAGTTGTGAATAGCTTTCTCTATTGGTCAATTAAGTTTTTTTTGCCCAAAAGCAAGAAGGAAGAGATAAAGCATGGACCATCAGGAATTGTACATTGGTACTCGTCAAAAAATAAAGAGAGGATTTAAAGATACAGTTTTAGAAGTGTTTGCCCTAACTTAATGGAGAGCAATGATAAACTCATGTGTGTAGGATAATGTTCCAAGGAATATGTGATAGGCTAGCTGATAAAAGACGTTCTCATAGATACACATGTGAAATCTCAAGAATCAAGATTGCCCCCTAAATAAAGAACTACTCCGTAAGAATTAATGAAAAGATTATAAGGTGTTGGAGATATAAATGCAGGGTATGGAACCATAAGCATCATCAAGACACAAGGAAACTTGAAAACCCAAATATATAGTATAGGCTTCATAAAAACTACGGAGTATAAATTTTCAACTACATCCAGTTGATGGTGCACCACTTAAGGCACTCAAATGATTTGCAAACTTGTCATTGCACATCCTATTGGGACTTTTTGACACGTCTGAATGCCATTAAATCTACAACTTGTATCTTTTTACGCAAATCACAGATCTAAAGAACCTATTCAGTAATGAAAGAAGCATCCAATTGAAAAAGAAGGGGGGGGGGGGGGGGAATAAAGCACATGCTACCCAAATTCCAACTATACACAAATAAAGTCACACAAATCAGCTAGTACACATAAGATAAGATGCGTGCCATTCTTTCCCCAACAAGCATTTTCAAAGAAAGCATCAATGTCACATGCATGTGTCATTTTAAATGTATGAATATCCCCTACACTACAAAAAATATGCTGTAACTTTCAACCTTACTCTAGTGATCATAAACTCATCAAAATGAAAGTAAATGATAATGAGCCTACCATACCTGGGGCAGAGGCAATGTAGCAATGGCATCAACGAAGAAATCAGATTTGAAGTACCTCCGTGCAATCATGTTGGGGTCTCTCACAAGCTCGCCCCTTCCAAAAACCCGAGAACTAGGAGCAACATAAGCTGTTCTGAATTTGATAATCAAGTGCAAGAGATAAAAGAGATCCGCAACAGTCCGACACAAGGTGACAAAAATTTGCAAATGCAAATCAGTTTTCACACAATAAGTCTTACTATTTCCAGATATCCCAGGCAGGTAAAAGTAGAGCGGGTCGATGAAAAGCGCCAGCAAGCATGCAACAATGAAAATCTTGTTCCATCTCAGCACAATATCACTCCCAGGATCTAGTATCTTCTTCCTCCATGACTCTTCATCCTCCTCTGGCAAAACCTTAGTCTTACCAAACTTATATGCTTCTCCTATTCTACCACTAACCCCTAAATTCCCACCTCCATTATAGTAAATTGATGAAAGCTTATAAGTAGATGATGACTTATCTAATCTTTTAGGGTCTGACTTTGGCAATACAATATCAGGGTCTAGTTTCTCACCAGAATGAAACCTATAATTACATAATAATACCCATAATTAACACAAATATTCACCAAATTACCTCATAATTACATCAAATTAAACAGTAGCATATATACTAACAAAATAAAAGTAAAGAATTACTGTGAAACTTACCTTACAATCTTTTCCTTCTTTAGCTCCATGCTAAAACCCTAACATACCCAGTTCAAAGTAACCCAGATCAGTGACAAACACTCAATCAACAAAAAGTTCTTGAAAAACAAGAAAGAATATAAGAAACCCACTAAAACTTAAGCTACAATTACACCAAAAACAAGCAGAAATTGGTGGGTATGCAACAAATTAAGCCCAAATTAAGATCTTGAACAAGAATATTCTTGATTTAGGGCAAAATTCACAGTAAAAACTAGAAACCCAGAAGGGGTAAGAGCTAAAAAACTAAAATTTGGGTTTTGCAGCCTACAAATTGACTAGAAATTGTTTATTGTTTGTGACTAACAGACACAGAATAAAGGGGGATTTTACAAATCAAAATTTAGACTTTAGAGAGGAAAATAAGTCAATGGATGTTGACTGAAGAGAAGAAAAGAAATAGTGAAGAAATATTCCCAAAACAATAGGGAATGAATCCTAATTTACATTAGTTTTGTACCTGTAATTTTCAATGTATTCTTTGGTCATAAAATTTCAACGAAGAAATGCTCCATTGTTCTTGGTAAGAGTTAAAAATCTTGGGTGTGAAAGAATGTAACGATACTACGATAGGGTGAAGCAGATTTCCCTCTTCCACAAAATCAGTCAAATCCTTTGATTAATCAATTTTATTAATAGACCTATGTTAACTTCGAGGAATGTATTTTATTCTTGAATAGATCGTCTAACGTGTACTAAGTTGTTCAATTTTAATATGGAATACTTTATTGATCCGAACTTGAGTTATACAAAAATATATGTACTTGTAACTAAATGATCTAAAACAAAATTAAACTGATATAGATTGTGACTCAATCCGATCTTTAATTTTACTATGAAAAGGACACATACTTGAATAACATGACCTATATCTAAGTCAAAAGTTTCAAGACTCTCTTCACCTAAATCGGATTTAGGCTTAATGAATTTGATCTAAACAACCCATTTGTTACTCTCATAAGACTAGCAGACTTTCACCCTACAATTTAATCCTTTTTAAATGACTATACAATTATTTTATGTTAGTCAAGTACAATTGCTTTTTTGACCCAACATTTTCACTCTACTAACATATAAATATTGATAAAATGATAAATTAACATGGCATAATAATATGATTAGGATCTTGCTAACGAACACCCCAAGGCGTTAGATAATTATATAATATATTACTTAAAATATTATTAAGTTAGGAATATATGACAAAATTACGCATCGATCGGTGTAATTAATGTTACTTTTACCCTAATATTTTCACTTTTAATTATCTTATCTAACGCCCCTTGGGCATCGTGGGCGTTCGTTAGCTTTTGCCATTTAACAATATATTGCATGGTAGAGTTTGCTTTTAATATGTTATTTAAAAACGATGATCAAAATTAGTATATATAGATAATGACAATATGTCAAATGTGTTAATTATTTAGGAAAGGAGGAAGTAATAGTAATAGTTAAATGTATGAACCATTAGAGTATTAGGTGGAAGTGTTCCGTTGCACTTCACTTGTATTATGGATTTTTTTTACCAAGATTTCAAAAGAGGACTTCTAATGTTTTTTATTTTTATTTTGATAAGATAAAGTCTGGTTTGATGTCATAGTATTAGTATATGGTCTGTCAGGTCTGATGATGGTCACCTAATAGTCTTAAACAAGTAATAAAAACTACTCATTAATGTTAAGAATTAATGGAAAATATTGTTTTAGTGAACAAATTCGTTGTTTTGAATTGAAACTTGATCTTTTAATTTGGGTCAAATTTTATTTATGTTGATCTTATTTGCTTTAATTGTTGCAAACATGTTTGACTGATCCTATCAATTAATTTTGTTGGCGGTTATATTTTGTGGTACCTCACATATGAAGGTGAAACTTACTACAACATATTAGTTTCATTTATAAAATACGAAGTAATAGGCATTATGTGCAAATTTTCCATTGCACATCACTTTGTATTTTGGATTAATTTATCCAATTTACCAATAAGAAAAAGTTTAAAATTCATATAGCTCCATTGTAGCTTTCATTAGGGTGCTCTTTCTCATGAAATTAATACTGGCTGTTCATTCATCTTATATAAAACATTACAGCAATCCCCAGAAAACTCGGCTGTAGAAAAAGAGAAACTGATGAATTGAAACACCAAATTAAGTGAACAAATTTTAAAAAATTGATAGCTTGAAAAAATAGGTGAACAAATAAGCTGTTGTAAAATCGAAACTCCAAACCCAAGTTGCGAGCATAGAAAATGCAAGCAGCTGGACATTATAGCAAAACAATTATAATTAAAAAGAATTGATAGCTTGTAAAACTGTCTTACGCCTATGAAGAAGATGGTATCAGACTATCAGCTATTCTGCAAAACAGAACCTATGCACTTGTATCTCCTAAAAAATGTATCCTAGATACTTGAACAAAAATCATATACGTTGCTGTACAGAATTCTTTTATGCCCCTACCCTTTCTCTTACTCTGTCTGTAAATTCTAATCTAGAAGAACTTTGCTATCATCAGTAGCAATTTGAGCATCAGAAGACTTTGGTTGCTGCACTGCGGCAGATGCATCAGCAGGCTCTGGTTGCTGCACTGCGTGCATCAGTCGGCTCTGGTTGCTGCACTGCAGATGCATCAGTGGGCTCTGGTTGCTGCACTGTAGATGCATCAGCAGCCTTTGGTTGTTGCACTGCAGATGCACCAGCAAGGCCCTCAATCAAGGTGATGACTTCAAAACTATCATCGAGGTAGTATCTTGCCATACTTGGTTTCTGACCAACTGTGCAGGCATACACTTCAGGGATTAGTGGCAATGATGGGTTTGTGGCTGCATGACTGATACCCTCAAACATATCTTCGTCAGAACAGTCATCTCCTATGCACAGGACAAAATCTTTCGGTTTACCCATATTGTTCATAGTTGTAATGAGTTTTTCCACCACGACTCCTTTGCTCACTCCCTTCCATTAAAATTTAAAAACATCAATCAAATTCAGAGTAAACAACAGAGTATTCAAATTTGCAAACAAGCACCATATCACATTTATGAATGAGCAGAATTTAGAGCAATGAAAACCTTGACAATGGAAATATATTATACTATCATATACAAAACTGAATTTAGAGCTAAAGCTGAAAGAGTAAAATTTCATTTTGACCAAATTCTGTCACACTAAGAGTTGACCAAAGAACTATATGAAATAATTTATGAAAAATAAAAGTTGACATAATTATATACTGTAGCTTTTATAAATAAATCATGACAGCAAATGTTTGGTCACATCCAAATATTCCTATTTGCTGATAAATTCATACACCAAGGCAAATTCTTCTAGATAATTTATAGTATAAGCCAAACGAAGAGAAATTTCAGCACATATATTTTAAGTATGTTACCTGTGGTTTCACTTCGACTATATGCTTGCCACGTTTTACAACGACGGGTTCATTAGCCAGCACATTTTCCAAATGATCAAGCAATTCCTTTGACTGACATTCCCCAAAATCATGGTCAGAATCCAGGTAATGCCACACCAATGCGCTTTCCTTGTACTCTATGGAAGAACCATCAGTTGCTTCTGCATAAAGCTCCATTATTGGTCCTACAACTTTCTTCCACTCAAAATTTGTTCCCAACACACTTGACTCCCATTCTGAGTGCTGACTCCACCTGCACACAGAAAGAGTGAATGTCTTCCAAAATCAATTTAATCACATAAGAAACAGCAACAGCATGAATAAGAAATAGTTTATACACGTAATTTACCTGGTAAAATATCCATGCTCTGCCGAAATCCCAAGCTTTTCACAGGCAGAAAACCACTTGCTGAGAGTCTCTCTGCTTCTTCCACTTACAATGAAGACGGCATTTTTCGGATCATTGCATAGACTATTCAAGAGGGACAGAACTTCAGGAGTAGGTGCCATATTAACAGATGTCTGTGGTATCATAGTTCCATCATAGTCTAGCAAGATCAGCCTACTGTTTGAATTTGCATATGTAGCTTTAATGTGATCGACTGTGAGCTTCCTAAAGTCAGGAGGCAGGGCAATTAACCTGAAATTCAAACCAAAGCCAACACCCCAACACCTCATGGAAAAGGGATCACCACAAGCTCTCACAAGATCTTGGTCGAAACTCTTAGCCCAATAAGCAATATCATGAGAACTAATATACTTGTAATGTTTTTCGTGCCTCAGCTGTTTCTCCTTCTTTGTCAAATTAATTGCCAGATGCATTGCCTCAGCTACTTCCTCCACATTCCATGGATTGACCCTTATTGCTCCACTAAGAGATGGCGAGCATCCAACAAACTCTGAGACAATAATGACACTCTCCTTAGGCACAGAAGAGTCGACCCCTAAAGCAGCATCTAATGCAGGACTACCTTGGCGAGAAACAGTGTATTTGTAAGGCACAAGATTCATCCCATCCCTCACCGCATTCAGCAAGCAACAGTCAGATATCGCATAGTATGCAACCTTCTCTAGGGTCGAAACAGAGTCATGGATAAAAACAATCGGATCATACCCCGGTGTGCCATACATGTCATTAACCTCCTTGGCAATCTGATGGGTCTCATTTACAACTTCTTGCACATCATTCCCTCGGCTCCTTGCTGGGTTAGCTATCTGAACAAGAACCAATTGCCCCCTCAACTTCGGCTGTGAATTCAAAAGATGTCCCATAGCCATAAACTTGAAACTAATCCCTTTCAAAACATCCATATCATCAACACCCACAATCACTTTCTTCCCTTCAAATCTCTCCTTCAACTCCTTAATCCTCTTAGCAGTTTCATCCAATGACATCAAAGATTGCAGCTGTCCCATATGAACTCCGACAGGCAAAATCTTAATACTAACAGTTCTCCCAGAGTATTCCACCCCTAAATAACCTCGTTTCGACCTATAATCCAACCCCATCATCCTACTACAACATGACAGAAAATGCCTTGCATAATCAAATGTCTGAAACCCCACAAGATCAGCATTCAATAAACCCCTCAAAATCTCTTCTCTAACAGGTATAACCCTAAAAATTTCAGATGATGGAAATGGACTATGCAAGAAAAACCCAAGTTTAACCCTAAAAACCCTTCTCCTCAATAAGGTAGGCACCACCATAAGATGATAATCATGCACCCACACAAAATCCTCACCATTCCTATACCTAAAAACCTCAATTATCTTGCGAGCAAAAAGCATATTAGCACTAACATAAGCACGCCAATAAGATTGATCATAAGCAGCACCATGATTAGATGTAATTGGCAATTTATAATGAAATAAAGGCCATAAGTAGTGCTTACAGAATCCATGGTAAAAACTGTTCTGAATTTCTGGTGAAAGAAACACTGGCAAACACTTGAAATTCTCCAGCAAAAATTGGGAAACCTCTTCTTGTTCTTTAACATCAAGAATCTCAACTTTCAAACACCCAACATAAACAACATCAATTTTGGGGTTTAACCCATCTTTTAGCTGCAAACATAGGGCATCTTCATCAAATTCAAATCTCCATTTCTTGCAAATACCCTCATCATCTTTGAAGCTTTTCAATGGAAGTTGGTTCGCAGCAATGATTAATCTCTGGTCAATCGCACGGGGTGATGAGGCCGTGTGATCAAATTCTGGAATGATCCCTGGTTTTGTCATTACTGACGGAATTCTTCCCACCTTTTCGTCTAACTCCGGTGACATTTCATCCAAACAATTCAGGAGATTTTTGCACGGCCGTTCAAGCATGGTTCTTGAATTCTTCTTTCTTTCTGGATTTTTTTATTGATTTTTTTCTTAAATCTTCAACAATGGCGGAAATCAAACAAGACCCGGAAAAGAGAAGGATGAGAATTTTAATGGGTATTATTTATTTCTTGGGAATTTTAATCGGTGGGTGTTGTAGATTAGGATGAGAGCAATGAACTTCATGTGGGTATTATATATAAAACTTTATAGTAAAAATTTTATAGTGTGAAAATTCGAAAAAATTGGGAGCTATTAAAGGAAAGAATTATAGGATAAGGAAGAAAGAAATATTTGAAATGATTTATTTCCTCGTTTAAAATGAATCAAAGAGGATTTTTTTTCTTCTTCAAATAAAAAGGAAGAAATTTATTTATATGGAAAGAGATCTCGGAGATTATGTGGATGATGATGATGTAAGGTGCTTTATTTTTGGGGATTGAAATATTTGGGATAAGAACGAAAGACCGACTTTGGTAACTAAGGGATTAACGATTACGTGATCTTTTCTTTTCTATTTATTTTTCTTTTTATTTATTTTTTTAAAAAAATTATTTATGTATTTTGGGAAAAAATTTGTAAAAGACGGTCCGACAAGGATTATTTTGTGAAAAGTCTCTAAAGCAATTTTGTTAAGAAAAAATTATTCCGTAGTTGGATAAAAAAGGTAAATACCAATATGTGTTATGGAGTAAATTTTTTGTATACTAAGTATAAATTTTTGGATAAATCTCAATTTGTTAAGATTGAACATATATATTAATTAGGCCTGTTCACGGATTGAATATCCGAATACTTAGATATCATAAACTGATATTCAAATTCGATCTGAAAATTTCGGATACCTGATTTTCAGATCGGATGCTTCGAATATCCATTATCCAATATTAAGTAAAATTGATTATGATTACTTTCTAAATTTCTCTAATTTTACCACTTTTTTATCGCTAAATTATATATATTTCAATATTCAGCCTTTATGTTTCGGATATCGAATATCCAAAATTTTGAAAATCAATATCCAAATCCGCATCCGATTTCCGCTTTTTCGGATTGGATATTCGATCCGAAGTGAAGACTCGGATCGAATATCCAAAAATTCGGATCAGTTGCGGATCGGATTTTTGAATTTTCGGATAGTTTTGTACAGGCCTAATATTAATACATTATTTCGTATATAAAATAGATGATCAAATCCTTAAATTTAGTTTTAATTAAATTAATAATTTTAAGTGTATAATGTCCAAAGATTGTGTATTATTATGGGAAAATTTCCCTCTTTTTTTTTTAAAGAAAAAATTGACGAGGCTGTATACTTGTATTATTTCTAACATATAGATAAATTAATATTTCACAATATTGAAAAGAAAAAAAAGTTAAAAGAAATTACTCTGTATAAAAGATAGTTATTGTTATCTCTCAGGTAATTTTATAAAAACTTGGTACTTATGAAGAAGTTAATAAAACTTAAAAACTCGTTAGTCTTTCGTAATAATAGTAGTACTTAAGTACCAATAATAATAGGTGATAAACTGATAATAGATGATGTGTAATGTAAATTTTCTAGTCAAGGAAATCAATTCTAATATGTCATATATATCATTTTCCACGGTTCTCAACTTCAAAACGATAATCCTCAAAAATGGAAACACTTAAATCAAAAGCTTTATAAAGAAAGAAAATACGTGGTATATGAAGTATTTGATTCATATAGTGGACGAAATATGGAATGAGGACCATTACACTATATATTGGCATTATTCTATGGAGAGGGAAAAAGAAACGAAATTGTGACTAGATAATTAAAAGATTCATAGTTTGAGGTAGGTGCGTGGGTGGATCGATGAGGAAGCATACGTCGTACTACCATTATTGAATTATATTTAAAATTGGTAATCCGTAATTATCAATCAATACACGCAGTGATAAAAGTTAATTAAGTTGACATAATTATAATAGGGAAGGAGTAAACGATGTATAATTATAAAAAATAAAAAAATAAAAAAATTGGTTTCACTTTGGATACATGGAATTATGCATATGTATATGTGTGTCCATTACTCCATAGGAAAATACTTTATATGAATTATCTAATGGTTCTGAGATACAATCTTTATCATTAGATCAAATAATAATTCATTCTCTATATAATAAAACTTAAGTTCTATGCATGCTAATTAATTAATCTACCTATGATAGTTGATACATTCATACATAGAGTTCTCAATTCGGATAAACGGGTTGGATTGGGGTCGGGTTAGTATGGGTCGGGTCAATACGGGTTAATGTCGTAGCCTATGCGGGTCGGGTTCGGATTGGGTCATGCTTGAGTTGGGTCACGTCGGGTCATACATCTTATTTTATATACTACGTATATATATGACATATCAACTTTAGCATCTAATATTTTATTCATTTTTTTGACTTAGTAATACTCTTTCTGTTTTGTTTTGTTCTTCCTAAATCGAATGTACGTGTATGTTTGTTAATATGCATTTCGTTTCATTAACACCTCTAATTATACTTAGTACAAATTACTCTTTTTTTGGTTTGTCTCATTTATTTTTTTTTACACAATTTTCGATGTACATGTTTGAACACCAATATTTTCAACTTAATTGATATTTTGAACATTATTACATACATAAAAAAAATAGTCCAAATTTTTTTTTTCTACTTCATATTATTTATTGAAAATGTTCCATAAAAAAATAATAATAAAAAAAATCCCCCTCAACTTGAAAATGTTCCATAAAATTAGTGAATATTTTTTTCTATTTCGTTTTTTTTTTTTTTTTTAAAAAAAAAAAAAAAAAAGGTTCAAACAGAGTATATGATAATGTTTCTTCTTAAATTTTGATGAAAACTACTCCGTAATTATCAAAGTTTCACTCTATAAACTATAATTGAGAAATCTCATCCAAGAATATAGATAGGAATAGAGAAATTATTAAATTACATACTAGACACCTAGCTATTCTTATGCCCATTACGGTATATATATTTTTTTATTTTTATATATGCTTATACAACAAACTATTACAAACTAATTAGAGAGTTTACTAAAATACTTAAAAGAGGCTCTAGCTCCCTTGTTACAAAAGCAACAACTAAAACATTCCATCTTCCTCGCTTGATCTTGTCTATTTGTAAATTCAAGCATTAAATTTCGTACATGCTTCCTGGAAAACCACTTCTTACTCTTGTATTACTGTTTCCGACATTTGATAATAGTGAAATGTATGTTTAATTTGTTGAATTCACAAGTTACTATTCTTAGAAATAAACAATCATTTGTAAAACTCGTATGACTATATATATTAAGTTTATTTTACAGTAATAAAAATGATATACAAATCTTATATCTTTAACTTAATTACGGATTACACCAAAACTATATACGTTACGTATTTCGTAGTATTGATCAACTAGAAACGTCAATGTATCTCAATCATGAAGATTTATATGCGTAAATAATTAAACTAGCTAGGTTCTGTCCTTGTATCTTGGAAGCTTTTCTTAAAAAAGAGAACCTTCATTCATTCACTTTTTGTAAGGTTATCCACAATAGTTTTTATATCTCTACCTTTTTTTTATTTTTTTTTATTTTACATTTACACTTCGAAGAATTTAGAAGCGTGTCCGGCACGAAGCCACGAAGGAGTAAGGGCCTATTCAAGAACAAGGCATGTCTCATGGGTCCCACTTTATCTATATTCGGCTCCTGTATTTGCTGCTTTTGCTTGGCAATGGAATTTCCGATGTGGTAGCACTTTCTTTCTTGAGAATTAGCAATACAATAAAGATATTCATAATTTGGATTATTTATTCATCATTATTATATATATACTATGCTTGATGTACCAATTAAGGGAGGAAATTATACCTATAAATACATTTACTTCTTAAGTACTTGTGTTTAAATTGCATTTTATGACCAGACATAACATGAGATGTGGTTGGATCGTGTATGAGCTTCATTTATAATAGATCGACACACACACTAAGACACTTACTACTCTGTTTTGACATGGCTCGCTTAAGCATAAGACATGCTAGCACAATTGTGCTGTTGTGGGCCCGCAACGCTTGACCATGCCCAACTTTACTGATATTGATATTTTGATGTGTCATGCATGTATAGAAGTTACCAAACATAGTAATGTTACGATAAATACTTTTTTCTGCTCTATTTTGATTGATATGTTTTGACTTTCATGTTTACCAATGCATAATTTTAACTATTTATAAATTTATTAGTAAAAAAAATTTATTTCATTTTTCATATTATAAAATTTAAATCAAGACGAATTTGACAAGATCCGATCTCACACGCCTATATTTTGTTCAACATATAAGTCAACAAAGGAGGTCAAATGAGAGAACATGAGTACGGAGAGTGTATTTTCCAAACATTGCAACTATAATAGAACCCTAAAGAAAAACGAATGAATTAATTTACATGATAATCATATGAGGATCAGACGACAAAGTAAGTGCTCTGGTAAGGGCAACCTAGCTAAGGGTTGGGAGAAGAAGGGACACAACTACCCACAGTCACGGGAAATGAGACTAAAAACTATTCATAACATCCACAAATTAGCCAAAATTGTAAATCATCCATTATTCTTAAAAGACGGCCACATATACACAAGTTTGACATTACATTAGAGAAAGAGACATCAATTAATTACAATTATAGCACAAAAGATGGGATTAATCAAATAGTATGCATGCATAGCACACACAAATTAGCACTATTTAGCAGCAACCTTTGAAATTTAATTATTCGCCTTATCTTCAAGTCAATTTGATATGATAGATTTTTCAATTCATGGTTGTAGTTCATAATTATCCAAACTAAAGTTTGATTATAACTATGCAATAATATTTCTAAAGAGTTTTGTTATTTTAATGAAAATAGAAATTTATAATAGTGCTTAAGTTTTTAGCAACATAAATGAGACAAAACCCCGTCACACCAGACATCACAAGCAAAAAGACATACAATGACTCAATTGCATGCATGCCAAATTAAATTTTGTACTTTGTATGATTATGATTACTATTTTTCTTTTGGCTAAGTCTAATCCTATCTAATCTTAGCCTACTTTAGACTAATATCCAATAAATAAAGAGATTTGGTGTGACCCAAGATCTAAGTCTCAATCATAGTCTTTAGATTGAGCTTAATCATATTGTTTACGTCTTCTTTTATATTCTTTCACGGGAAACATGGGACATGTCAAATTCATTAACTGTTCAAGTAATCAATCTCATCCTTAATTAGTTAATAATCGCAAAATTTAGAATGTATTAGATTCCTGAATAGTCAACTTTATTGAAACTCATTGCAATTGTTATCAATATGCGAGTTGTTAAAGAAAATCATTGTAGGAAACTTGAGCTATTAGTAATAGAACTTGAGAAAAGGCCTAAATGGTGTATGGAGTAAATTGGATTTCTTGGTAATAATGTTAAAAAAGACCGTGTTATATTGATTACTAAAATCAACAAATAAGAACACATATATTTACATGCATGGTTCACTTACAAGAATTAATTATTAGATCTACAGATATAAAAGGCTCACGTAATGACTGTGTAAATAAGCTAATAGATTCAAGGCATATTCTAACATGTAAAGTGTGTATTACGTATATTCTGTATCTTTCATACCTCTAAATACCAAAATTTTACATGTGAGATGTATCGAGCAACCTGTCTCGAAGCTACTCACTTCTAAATTTTTCATTATTTATTTACTTATCCTCCAAGTGGGACCAAAATATACATAAAAATAACTTGAAACATGAACCAATTGTTAATGGAAAACGACTCGTCAAAAAACATCCTACATTAAAATGGACCACTACCTATAATTTATGTGCATGCAAGTGATGCAACTCTGGATATTTGATTTATATTATGGCAATGAGTTGTTTATAGTAGAGGCTAACACATTTTAATATGAAATGGCAATGCCAAAAATCCAAAAATTCCAGGGTTTATCTTCTGAGTATATGCTATACGCTGTGTGGCTGTGTCCCACCTTGATTCTCCACAGATCTTGTAGGATTTAACGCATTTTCCACAATTTTATGTCCATACGGGTAACTAACTAACTAATAAACAACAGAAAGGGACGTACTGCCAAGCAGTCCATACATACATTAGCTAATATCGTGTGTAGATGATAAGAATTTTGTCCGTGAATGTCGATTAGCTTAGTTAACAAGTTATGAGGTGAGATTTATCATTCCTACGAAGTATATTAATTAATCTTCTCATTATCTTTGTGGTTTTTGCCTATACAATAAAAGCCGATGGTTTAGTTTTTCTTGATGACGAGCATAATGAATTTAGTTCATACTTTTCTCCCTTTTATTTTAGTTGAATTTTTTTTAGCCACACTATATTTGCCGATACATGATTTCAAACAATAATATTTTCAGTTTTCTACAAGAAAAATGTAAAAAAGTTTATAATTGAAATATATATACATCGAGACAAATTTAACAACACCCCACATCATAATGTTTTTTTTTCTTGTAAAGTATAAATCACAAAAGAAAGTCATTTAAGCTATATGCTCAAAGTCAAAGTTGTCAACTAATATGAAATGAAAGAAGTAATAGAATAGAAGAAAATGAAAATGAAAAATTCTTAGTTATGTTTATTAATCTTCAGTATTGAAAAGTAAAGAAGTTAGGATGCCATGTTAACTTCGCAAGACAAAGACCACGTTCTTAAGGCATGCCCAAAACTTAATTTAGTTCAGATTTTAAATAAGTTTAGCTAGCTAAGTTAAAATCAAATGAAAAAACACACCCCAACATATGGAGAAAATCTGTGAATAGATCGTGATTTTTATTTAAAATTAGAGTGTGATTTTTATAAGTTAGGGGAAAAAGCAATGACCTAAGCCAAAACAATTAAGTGGGTTTTGTGCAGTTGCAATTTTTTTGTTCGAACGAGAAATTAAAATACAAAATTTTTCAGCCTAAAGAATTAGTTCGCTTTAGTCTGGTCCATATTTCTATCGTGTATTAATTTTTGTAGTGACAAGTGACAACTTCATATGATAAATATGAAATAACTACTAATTTTTAAAAACAAGTTCCACTACGTGGGCCATCAAGTTATTGAAGAGAACTTCTTAAAAAAAAATAAAATAAAAAAGTAGTTATTGAAGAAAACACGAGACTAATCAAACACACTAATAATCACATGTGAGTAAAGACTAATGTACTGTAATGAATTTGGAATCAGATTGACAGAAAACACAAGAATTGGTCCATCTCCTAATTCCATCCTTATCCTATGATTTAAAAAATGGTATTGGTAATATGGTTATTAAATTATTATAAAGATGATATCAAGTCGCAGGTATTACCCTAGGAATTCCAAACAAGTCCATTCAAAACCAAGAAAGTTTGTAATATTCTATATCATCTTTATCTAGCTTCTATAAGAATAGATACAAATCTAGAAGAATAGATATAAATACTTGTAGTAGTGGATAAGATAAGGAAGTGGCAAATGCCAAATGGTAGCATCCGAGAAATGTTACACATGTTACACAACACACGTATTACCTCCGTTATATATTATGTGCAACTTTTGGGTATTAATTGAAAGAGATAAAAAATTCCAAAGTTGCACATAATATGTAACAGAGATAGTATATTGATGTATACATAATAAGTTTACATTAGGTGGCAATGGGCTAGCTCAGCGTCTCCAATGTACAAGGGTAGGTCTTGGCTTAGCTCACTGAAAATGAATGTGCTAATTAAACTAGTAATGTCATCCCAAAGTCATCCTACGAGATGACATTATGCTTATCACTTGTTGAGGAGGGTGGACGAGTGAATTGTTAATGGGTTATTGCCCTCCTTAGAGCAAACTCAATGGATGGATGACTAATATTTTTTTGACTTATTGTCTTCTTTTAAAGGCATAAAGAAACAATAAGTTAAATGAAAGATAATTTAGACGAAATTTAATCTCATGCATTAAAAAAAGACATTTGTAACAAATTGCTTTTGTGTAAGTGAAAGTATTTCAATCATCTAGTGAATGAATAATATTTTCTCTGTTCCTTTTTCTTGGTTACACTTTGATCATTTTTCTTTTACGAAAAAATTCCAAACATAATTAACTAAAAGGAACCATAAGTGTATTACAATTGGAGAGAGAGAAGTGTAACAATAAAATTTGTCTTTCCTGACATTATCCATTACAATTTTTTTTTTTTTTAAAAAAATGTGACGTTGAAAAAATTATTCCACGAAGATGCTATGGAAATGTCAACCATAATGGAAGTGTGGTTTGTGGATCCAATTATCAGGAACAAATTATATCTTATCTCCTTTATTTACTAATTTATGTTTTTTGCCAAGTCAATTGCATCCACCAATTACAAAATTTGGTGGAAAAAACACAAAATAAATTAGTTCAATGTATTATAAAAGGAATTAATGAGAAACTTCCGGCAGATTTTCATGCAGAAATTTCTATGACATGACAAAACATCCAAAGCAAATGTACCTAATTCTTGGTAGAATATTCCGGCTATTCAATACTACTACTCGTACAATTTTCCTTCAACGGTCTTCTAAACAACGATTTGTTATTTTCACGTCTTTTTCTTGTAAAAAGCATTCACGTTTCTTGGAAGCATGGAACCCAGGAGTATATCGTGGTTCTTCCTCAACTCTTTCAATTTACGACTCGTTAAGTACTCTTTCAATGTACGACTCGTTTAGTAGATGATAAATTGGAAAAACATGTCAATTGTCATAAATGACAAATTGACAATGCCGTCTTTGGTCTTTCTCATTTTGGCGATACATTAGGATAAAAGTAACCAATTGCTATTATACCTTCTATATTCATTTTCTCCCTGTTTTAATCAATATATTTTGTTAGACAGATCATCTATAGTACCAGCTCTCACTTTGTACAAGAAGTTTGGATAGAGCCACATTATTCGCGATCCCAAGCAACTCTTTTAGACTTTTACTCTTGCTTCTTTTTTTCATAGAATGGAAAAGTTGGTGATACAACTGCTACAGTAGTTGCGTTTCAATGTGTTTCTATCATTGAATCCTCTTTTGCTGAAAGAATCAGCATGAATTATGATCGAAATGTATAAATACAAGAATAAGAATGTAAGGATTGATTTCATCAATTTGGGATGAATGTAAATCTCTCGAACATGCACAAAGTCCATCAATCTACAGCTACAAACTCAGATGGCCACAATTTGATGCGTAGGAAAAATTCTACCATCTCACAAAGAATCCCAGAATAGCATGCCAATATCCATCAAGCTGCCACACAATAGCATTTAGTGTATTGCACTCAACCTATCGATATTTGAAGGCTTCTTAACCCATTAAAGCATTTAACCATACAACAAAATACACAGTTACAGTCTTAGAGCATAATATAAATAGAAAAGACAAAACATACCTGACCCAAAATAGTCTTTCCTGTATGGCCTTCGATGACTAAACCAGCAGTAAGGCCAATCATTGCCCACGCTCCATTGATCGCTTCAATTTGACGTCTTCTCTGTGGTCATAAACTCCTGTTACATTTTGTTTATGTGTGAATGGAAAAGGAAGGGAGGGGGGAGGGGAGGGGAGGCATTAATGCAAAGGTCCTAAACCCTCATATATAAGATTTTTCCATTCGAAGGTCGAACACCATTAGAATTCATAAATACTTTAGTTTTCTCCATCCCATCCTCCCTTCATTACTCCAATTAAGTGGAAGGTAACGTTGGAAATCTAAACATAATCTTATTCTATTTTAGGGCATGTGATAGTTCTCTCTGAGCACCACAAAATAGTATACTTGACAGTAGTTCCGAACAGAGTAACATCAAGTAAAATATACATGTTGCTGGACCACATCCAGGCAGCATGGAGCAATGACCATTATTGGTTTTTACCAAAAGAACCTCAAATGAATTACAGAAACAGATGCTCTGTCTCTCATGTTCTGCCAGGAAGAACTTGCAAGGCTCAGGCAACTATGAAGACAAAGAAAGGATGGATCAAAGCAGCTCACACAGAAAACTAAAGCTGAAGAGATAAGCTTCTACCATAGGCCAGTAGCTATGCTCATCAGAGATCAGACCGTCCGTACATAAAATATGACAACATGGAGTATGTAGGTCAATAGAAACCGTAAGTCAAATATCCCTGTGGGCCTGTGGCACGAATGTTCAGATCTGAAGTTATGGGTAGAATTGCGGAAACATTTATGACAAATATATATACTCATAACATATCTATTAGCTTGTTTCACAATTAATCTAGGCAGGTCAGACACAAGGTTCTACATATTTAGATCTCCCAAAACCCTGGCAACAGTGGCAAGGGTAGGTGCCACTCAATAAAGTTGACTCCCTTCTTTCTTGGCAACAAATGGGTATTGTTGATTCATTAAATAGGCTGGATGCCTTCTAAATCCATTTGGTCTGGTGGCATTTGCAGCAGCTTCCACATGGAGTCCTAAGTTTGCGCTTAGGGAGCCTTAACTCCTCATTCGGAAGTGAAGACTATGAGGAGCAACAACAGGCCTAGGATGTGGATATTTCCCCGTGGAATGAGCATTATCCTAATAGCCTATGAAGGTGAGGGGTATATGCCTCACCCAATGGGGCACAGAATCACCACCTCCATAATCCCCACCCCTCAAGAACGTTACAAACTGATCAAAAATAACTTTTTTTCAATTTAGTCAACTTAATGCCAATGGTTCACAGCAATTACAATACTACTATCCTCATTGCACGTCTTTGATTTTAGGGCATTCATCCTTCATTCATTCATTCATTTTGTTCATATTAGTTTTCATCCAATAAAGCCACTTCTTAAACATAAATTTTTATGGATATCTAGCTTAAAAGTTTAGACTTTAGAATATTCCTCAATTTGAAAAGGGGTAAGAATGTACAATAAAAGGGGTCATGTCACTCACGTGTCTTCTATTTCAATGTACAACCAAGGTGAGAGATTATTAACACTCTTAGGTTTCTAGATTAGATGTTTTGAGAGGTGTGGATTGTAATTCAAGAGGGGTTGTCACTTGTGAGGGTTACTTAAACTCCGTAATTGTTAATAGTAGTGGTGTATTACTGTAAAATACCATTTTCCATTGTCTCTTATATATTGCACCTTTGATTTGTTTAATTATCTAGTCCAATTTGTGTGTTTTCCTTCTACTAATCCTAAAAAAATTGAGCCTATTATATGAAAGGGTTGATCCAAGCCCATCAATCTTCATGGATTTAGATACACATCATTAATTGCTCTAAGCCTACCACTGCTACCAGAGTGAGATGCTTCAAGATAAAACATGCAATTTTAGAATCCTCTTAGATGGAGTAAATTTTTTTTTTTAAACAAAGGAAAACGTAAAACAGCATGGCTAATGACTTAGATCAATTGATGGACTCATATGACCCAATTCCCCTAATTTAAGCTTGAAATGTTTGTCACAAAGGAAAGCAGCACAAATTGTGCAGCAAATAAGTTTGTGCTGCAAATAAGTTCAGAGAAAGAAATTTACAAACCTCAAATTTCTCCTTTGATCTTATTTCTACATATTGTTTTGCAGCTAATTTCTTGGCCTCCAATGGATCTACCATAAGTACTTCTTTCCTAAAACTCCCCTTTCCTGAAGAAGCCTGAAGGAGAAAAAGATTAACTCATAAATATATAGCATTGCCTCATCTAGCAATTAATGACATAGTCAAGGGGTCATAATCTCACCACAAGCACCACTCAAGTCCAAAAACATACAAGTAAAAGCTACAAGCCAACGATTTTTATTTTTTTGACAATTAATAGGAAAGTATTAGGAAGAGTGGAAGACACCAAGCTAAGAATAAAAAAAGCTGATGCCCTTAAGCTATAGATAATAATGAAAACACAAATGATTAGGGAGCACTTTGAGAAATTGATGAGAATGTCATAATAATCATCCACTACTTAAATTCTATATGGACTATATCTCCACCTTCCAATATAATTTTTATTTGAAGTTCTTAGTAAATGGTATCAGTAAAAAAATATTATTCAAGGATGAAGGGAAAGTTCAAGTACAGTATACTAATCAGGCAAGTGACCTGATATTTGGGACATCCTCGAAAGAAATAGGTCTATTATTCAAGGATGAAGGGAACAGGGAGTGACCAGATATCTACAAAATCAAGAAACTCAAACTGAAACTAAAGGATTTGTCAAACTTGATCCAAAAACAAATTGTATACCTAGAGTAAATCCAGATTATATGCAAACTAACTAACCCTTATCATATAATTAAAGTCCTTAATTGCATACATTAGAATCGGCTAGCATACGAAACGCACCCCTCGTATGTGCAAACTGTCTTGAATGCTGCTTTCCCATCAAATGCCATCTGAAAGAAAGTAGCCATTAGTATTTACATTTGAGACAACCATCAAAGAAGTCAAAGAGAAAATCATCTGGGATTGAAATATTATTCAATTATCACTTATGAGTTACAATAACTGTATTTACAAGCACAAAGGATATCAAATCATTTAACACTCAATCCCCCCCCCCCCCCAAAAAAAAAAAAAAAAAAAAAAGGATATCAAAGATAATGAGATTGTTTTATTTATTTATTTATTTTATTTTATTTTTTTGGGTAGATAAGCTAAGCTCCCCCTGCCCCTAAATGTTATATATTAGAGCTTCATGCCCCTTGTGTTGAATCAATCGGAGGTAAAGACGTAACATTGAGACAATAAAAATTCATGACTACAGAAGCCAAAGTGGTAATATAGAACCACATACAGCAATCTTTATTCTGGGTAGCCAATCCTTTCCGTCGCACATGCTGACAGACACTCTGCCAAACAGCCATGACTAAGAGGTTTGCAAACAGAACAAATTAATTAGTTAACAGCGTCTTACACCTATAGCTAGGCCATACTCATTTATAAACATTTGTACATATTGTGAATGAAGCTGTTAATATGACATACATAGTAGACAGCTAATGAAGCACAAGGAAGATATAGATCCCAATATAGCAACATCATTCTAGCCATTTTTAAAGCACAGTGTTTCTTCATTTCCATGGTTCCACCACAAAAATCTTAAGCCCAGCATGACAAATGACATGGGGTTGAGGATAAAGCTTATGTGCCAATTTTGAAATGGTAGGAAAAGGAGTCCAAGAAAAGAGTGTTAAATACGGGTCTGGGCCGCACCCGCAAACCAAGAGTGAGAGTCCACTTCACAAGTCCAAAGAAGGTTCCATCCCAAAACCATATGGCAATAGGAGGAGTAGCCCCTTATCCTTATAAAGTGTTTAATTTTCTCTTCTTTTATCAATGTGGGACGCTTACATGTGTTATTTGGTAGGATATATTTCAACACTCCCCCTAACATGTAAGGTCCCTTTTATCTCAAAGATCACATGATCCAATTCAATTTGACCCAAAATACTTAATGCCATTAAAGGTCCCAAACCATGGGCCTGACAATATACTCAAGCCATTAAAGGTCCCAAATCATGGGCCTGGCTCTGATACCATGTTAAATACGAATTTGGGCCGCGCCCGCAAATCAAGAGAAAGAGTCCACTTCACAAGGCCAAAGGAGGTTCCATTCCAAAACCATATGGCAATAGGAGGAGTAGCCCCTTAGCCTTATAAAGTGTTTAACTCTTTTTTCTTTTATCAATGTGGGACGCTTACATGTGTTATTTGGTAGGATATACTTCAACAAAGAGTCAAATCAGGTATATGATAAGAATTCATTTTGGCTAATATTAATTTGGTTTACCACTACCTAACTAGCATAGCATATTGTGTCTAACTGTCTACTATCAAATGTACTCATACACAGCCTACCTAGGTTGCATGGAAACGGAAACGAGAAAACGGGGAATCGAGGAGACGGAAAATTTAAAATTATGGGAAACGGAGACATGGAAAAATAATATGAAATATCACCTTCAAAAGGCAATATTATTGACATATTTTCTTAATAAAAAAGAAAAATAAAGAAAGAAAGCAAAAAAATAATAAATTAGGCTATATTTAGGAGATTAAGTGTTGGAAAAGATCGAATTTTTATGTAGAAAAACGTTTTTCAATTAAAAATCCATATATCTAAGGGTTAATTTTAATTTAAGTTTCGGAGAAGTTTCTAGAGTTTCAGAAACGGAAACGGTGTCGAAAACGGAAACGTTGACCCCAAAGAGAGTTTCCGTGCATCACAGCAGCCTACTAACTCAACTCGGAGCTAATGTATTACACAATATATTTTATTAGTAAGTTTAACATCCTTTCCCTCCCTCTCTTGCATCCGAAGATAGTCTTCTAACTAGCCTGATTTAAGTGAAGGAAAATTGCAAAAGGCTATGGCCTATTCGTATAGTGTGGATAGAGGTAAAGGGTAAGACGGCGTAAATTCATACCTCCATTGACCCTGTCAATGGTGGGATACACTGGGTGGGCTAGAAGCTGAGTGAAACATCACTATTTCAGGAAACAGCGGCCTTTTCCAGCCCATTAATAGCCTATGTTGGATGAATGGCACATATATCCTGATGGACATACAAACATATAAAAACCAAACATCTTTCTCAGCCAGACATACTAAAATTCTTCCAGTATATTGCCTAAAATACTCCCTCACTTTGACATCCATTGTCACGCGGATAGTGTAATTTGAACTAGTGACGTGACTACTAGTCCTCCACTCCTCTCACATTGAACATATAAGCCCAATAACTACATTATATAACCCTAGTGAGCTCCCAACATTGCAATAAGGACTGCATTTACCGCGCTCGCCCTCATTAAACATTTATACGGCTTACCCTTGATGAATGCCGGGCTCTCATATACGAAGTATATACTTATGAACAATGTAACAATTACAATTGCAAGTATTACAGTAATTCCACGGCTCATGTCTAGTGAAGAATTAACAGAATTTTCCCTAAAATTACAAGTACAACATAAATAATTACAATTACAAGAATTTCAATTTGTATTTGTAAGCTGGAATTGGGGTTTCTCAAATTTAATAAGAGTAGATTATTCTAATTTCCAACCAATCTTGTATTGTATTCAGGATAACTTTTGAACAGGGGCATGATTAAATTTCCCTTAAAATATGCAAAATTCTAGGGGAAAAAAAAAAAAGACCCAGAAAGAAAAATCGAAACTTGGACAAATAGAGAAGATAGAAACAAGATAATAATGAAGGGAAATGAAATAGAATGAACTTACTGCTGTATAGAAGCGGAGCGTTGCGTTAGGAAGGGTTGACGCGGGGTGGAGGGGATGATGCATCCAATGATTGGGAGAGCTGAGGCTGCCATTTTCACTTTTCAGCTTCAAGCTACTATCTTCAATTATCTCTCTTCCCCTCTCCTTGGTCTTTGTTGTTAGTGGTTGAGGTAAGCTGGTAAGAGGAGTTAGAGGACACACACTTCATTATTTCATCGAGTAATTGAAATAAATATATTAATGGCATAAGTCGTACATTAATGCATTTGTAACTGTGAGATACAGAGTATTAACAAAAATTCTTGCGTGCAACCGGCTTACATTAATCTTAATGTAAGGCCTGATTCGCACGTGCCATTACAGTATAAATAGCAGTCGCACTTCTTCTCTCAACTTCGTCTTCTTCTTCTTTCAAATTCGCAGCCACTCTTCTTCTGTCAAATTCGCTGCAAATTCTCTGCAAAATATCGTTGGATTCCCTAATTCACAAATTATTACAATCTCAAAAACAAATTCAAGCTGCAATTTCAAACGATCTGCAAACTTCAAAAGAAATTGAAGTTGATTCTGCAATTGATGTTGATTTAAACAATGATTCTATGCAACAAACCCTAATTTGCAGGCAATGTGGCAATAATATTGACCTAAATTGCGAGATCAATGACAATGCAATGCATCAAAACCTCAATTCAGGTACGTAATTTTGTATATGAATTTGTACAAATTTACCAAAAATAGGTAAACTGGTGATTGAATGAATTACGATCAATGCAGATTCATATGAGAGTAGAGTTATTCTCGATGAAGAACAAATCTCAGCTGATGAAGTGCAAATCTCGGTGGATGAAGAGCAAATCTCAGAGGATGAAGATTCAACTTCTGAAGGTGACATTAAGCTTTTGAACAGTTGTGGAATTGTTTAAATTGAAGTTTCTGTTTAATATTGAAAATTACAAGTAAAATTGAAATTGCATACTTGTTTAATTTATAACTTTAAGAAATAAAAACATAACTTTAACAAAAAAAAATATAACTTTAACTAAAATATAAATAACTTACTGATTCAGCACTTGAATATCATCTAAGAAGCAATAATCAACAATCTCCTGATACAACTTTGGTAATTTTTTCAAAGACTTCTTATTGCTTTTCATCACATGTCCAACAAACACAACATCAACATCACATGGCCCACATCCAACATATATTTTTGCCTTACCATTTACCCAAAGCATTCATGATTATAGATGAGAAAGAACTTTCACCATACTCCAGGTTAATCTTTTCTATCACATTCTGAACAATATTACTAACAAAATCACCCCTAAGAACATTTTCCACCCTTCCACCATTCTCCCCACCCCCGACATTCATATCACAAGCCAAATCTGAAATACCTCCAGGCAATTTCTTCATTGATAACATAATATCAACAATTTCATCAATAATCTTAAACATTCTTGGATCATAATCCTGACTTTGCAAGACAGGAGATGAATTACTAGAAGCACGAGCCACATCACGCTTCTTTAAACTTTCAACCTTCTTCAAATGATAATTTGTAACAACTTCCATATTCCTCTTCATTAACAAAAATTGCTCATGAATAGCCTGAAAAATAATAAGTGAATAATTAGAAAGATAACTTTAGCTACAATAAGTATAACTTTTAACATAAAAAGTATAACTTTAGCATTAATAAGTGCAACTTTTAACTTACATCAGTAGCAACAGAATGAATTTCTTCATCAGATGCCATACTATCAGGAACATAAAACTTAATGATCCTTTTTCCTAGTGATGCATCATCAGCATTGTCACCTTGAGAAACTTCAGTTTGCTTAGCTCTTTCAGGTGAAATTCGAAGAGGCAGCTGATCTCCGAACACAAAATTCTGAGATATAGGGTATGTAGTAGTATCCAAAATACCACAACCAAAGGACTTAGCCTCAACTTCTTTTTTCACCCTATCACTGATTTTCTTATCAGTCGAGTGTTTGATAAGAGGCAAACTACAATCTTGTGCCTCATTCCTGAACTTCAGACGCTGAAAATACACAACCTCCAACAACAAAAGACAACCACCAACACTGTCTTGACTCTTACTTTTCTTATACTTCAAAATAGCCCTACACAACCTTTCATGAACATATTTACACCAATTGATATTCTTAATTTCATTAACATTTTCAAGAGCTTTAACAAAACTCAAATCGGCAGTTCTATTTGCAACAGGTGCTAGAAAGGTAGCAAAAGCAACCATCACAAATAGTCTCTTAAACAACTCCCCACCATCCTTTAACTAAACAATCCTAGCCTCTAATTTATGCAAAGGTATGCCTGCACTACCAGCAACATCAAACATACTCCTCCATTCTTGTTTCAATTGAAGATCAGTACTTCTAGTACTCTCTACAACATCCATCCCATTATTCAAAGGTAACTCAAATACATCATAAACATCATAGGGAGAAATAACAAATTCCTTCCCAGGACTTATAGAAAACATGCAACTAACAGGATCAAAATGATCGAGCAACCAAGGAAGTAAAGTTGTAACAGTTCTAGTCAACTTTAAATCCAACAAACCACCAAATCCTATTTCAACAACAGATTTAACTTGCTCATCAGAAAAATCTTTCATGAGATCTACTAATGTGTGCGGTCTGCAATGGGTACTGAAAAACCTATCCAAACTGAATCAAAAAAAAGAAGAAAGGAAAAATAGAATGAACAACTATAACTTTAAAGAGAATAAATACAACTTCAGAAATAATAAATGCAACTTTAGCAAACACAAAATTATAACTATAAATAAGTACTAAAATATAGCTTTAATATCATTATCCATAACTTTACATAAAATTATCCTAAATATTGTATTAGCATATAAGTTAATTATCACATCTATCTTACACAATGTCCATAACTTTAAGGGCATTATCCATAACTTTAAGGGCATTATCCATAACTTTAAGAGCATAATCCATAACTTTAGAAATAATAACAATAACTTCAGAAAAGGGTACTTACATTTCAACATCGGAATCAAAATCATCTCTCCCTGATATACTTGCAACATTTTCGTCTTCTTCAGCATCAGCATCTGGTTTGTTTCTATTTTCAATTTTGACAGGCTTGTCAACCACTCTCCTCTTCTTCTCAGCAGGACAAATACTGTCCTTCACCATTTTCCGTTTCTTCTCAGCTGGACAGAGACTGTCCTTCACCATTTTCCGCTTCTTCTCAGCCGGACAACGATAATCTTTTTTTCGTTTTTTCTAAACAGAAGCATTATTGGATGCCTTAGCTAGCTTTTTCTCAGGACGACGATAATCCTTTGCTGGATTTTTCTTAGCTGGACGCCGATCATCCTTTACAAGCTTCTTTGATTTCACACTCAATTTTCTTTTTTTCTTATTTCTCTCAACAGATTCTTCCTCACTTTCTTCTTGGTCAGAATACTCCTCACTTCCCTGCTCATCATCACCCTCATCCTCTTCTGAACCCTCCTCATCATCACCACCATCCTCTTCTGAACCCTCCTCATCATCACCTCCACCCTCTTCTGAACCCTCCTCATCATCACCTCCACCCTCTTCTGAACCCTCCTCATCATCACCTCCACCCTTTTCTGAACCCTCCTCATCATCACCTCCATCCTCTTCTGAACCCTCCTCATCCTCACTTTTATCCTCCATCACTGCACCCTTCTTTACTGCAGCCTCCTTCACTGCACCCTTCTTTACTGCAGCCTCCTTCACTGCACCCTTCTTTACTGCAGCCTCCTTTACTGCACCCTTCTTTACTACAACCTCCTTCACTGCACCCTTCTTTACTGCAACCTCCTTTACTGCACCCTTCTTTATTGCACCCCCCTTTACTGCAGCTTCGTTCACAACACCCTTCTTTACTGCAACCTCCTTTACTGCAGCCTCCTCTACACTACCTCCCTTCTTTCCACCCTTCTCCACATCAACATTAACTTCATTGCTTACATCATTAGCACCTATAGAAAATAATAGTATTAAATTGAAAATCATAACTTTAACTAAAAAAAGTATAACTACAACTATAATTAACATAACTTTTATAAAACAATCAGACATATGATTCAACATAAAGCATAACTTAAGCAAACATTTATATAACTATAACAAGCTGACAATGTTGAAGTTTAAAATTAACATAACTTTAACTAAATATAGTATAACTATAACTATAATAAACATAACTTTTATAAATCAATCTGACATATAATAAAACATAAAGCATAACTTAAGCAAACATCTATATAACAATAACAACTAATTTTGTAACTTTAACAAATGTACAAAAATCAAGAAATTGTAATTGTAAATAGAGAAATTGGTAAAACCTTGAGCATCATCAGATCCACCAACAGAGCTTCGCAAACCACGTCTCCTTCGAAAATTCGAAAGACCACCTCTAAACTTCACCATCGCAAATTCAAGAAATTAAACCCTAAAATTCAAAATAAGAACGATTAATTAATTAAATACTGACATAAACAACAAATTGAACGAAAATGCAAGCAAAAACTGAAAAAAAACTACGTTGAAAAACAAAATATGAACATAATGAACCAGGAAACCATAAAATATGAACAAAATTACGATCAAAAACAAAAAATACCATAAATCAAACTAATATACTTACGAATACAACAAATTACAACAAAAACAAAGAATTCTACTTAAAATTGAAATAAAGTAGAGAATTACAAGTTAATAATACATATGTAAAATGAAAAACCATAACAAATCAACAATTACAACAACTAATGAACAAAAATTATGCAATTAAAACCAAAAATAATTTAAAAACTAACCTCAAAAACCGATGAGAATCCAAAATTCAATTTGTCAACTAAAGAAAATCAACAAAACAAAGGAAAGATGAAGAGAAATTGCAGAGAAATATGAACAGAGGAGTGAGAAATTGTAGAGCAGAAAATAAATGAAGAAGACGCGCTAAAATAAAAATAAAAAAAAATGGAAAAAAGAAATAACCGCTGGACTGCACGTGTGAACCCAGTCCAGAAGAGAGAAGTGGGCCAGTTTTACACTAAGTTAGTGTAAGCTGGCCTTTTTCAAGAATTTGTGGAGTATTAATGGGTACGATCATAATTTTACAAAAATAGAAGAAGTATAAAATTATTTGTTTGATTACTCGTGAGTTATGACTAGACTTGATTATTGGGTAGGGTAGCGTAATGATAATAGGGTTAGGGTCAAGATTAAAGGGTTTTTAATGGAGAGATTCTTTAATGGACGAACCCTTATTGGGTAGGGTTCTTTAAGGAAGCCAGTAAGGACATTAGACAGGTAGGGCCAAAATGTTTGTCCAATTAATAAATAAAGGAAATAAATAGTGTAAAAAAATTACATACTCCGTAGTAGATAATTTCGTATTCATATATACTTACTAATGACTTTGTCCAATATTTATTTAATTGATAGTTTGTTGACCCGTGACCTGCATTGACCCTATAAAATATGACCCTCTTTGACCCGACCCGCATGACCTGACACGATCCGCCTAATAACCAAGTCTACTTGTGACTTTGAAAGAAGCACATGGACGATAATAGAGGAGCTAAGTCTTAATGCATTAAAGCGGTCTTATTTATAAATTTGTATTTCAATTAAAGGGATTAATAATTGGTTAATTCTTTTGATTTAGCAATAGTGAACAAGACAATTTGTCTAGGCCCCTCTTCTAGTCCAAGTAGCTAAATAAATATTCGTAGTAATCAATTATCAAGGTTAGCCTAGTTAGTTGGAGGCTCTCCTTCCGCCTCTGCGAGAGAGGTTCGATTCTCACCCAAAGCAAACAGGATCTTCAATTTCCCCCTACTTGCAAGGGAATTCTCCTGACCCATTAAAAAAAAAGAAAAATACACTTTAATAATCCCAACTAAGGATTATTATCTAATAATCCTAACTATGCTATGTGTTTGCCTCCAATGGTCCCAATGATCGGTAACCTGTTGCAAGGGTAAATATTTTTTTTTTTTGTTTTTTAAAAGCCACGTACGTGTCAGCACGTGATTGGTGTAATTTAAAAAAAAAAAACAATTCCCAGCCACCCCCTCCCCTTCCCCGTGAAACCATTTTCGAACCCCAGCCCACCGACAAATGGCCGGTCGGATGACCACCGCCCACCTCCCTAACCCCCCGTAAACGGCCGGCTGTCCCTTCCCCAGCCCAGAAACTCGTTGTCCGACCTTATCAATTATATTCCCGATTTTCCAACCGCGCGTCAAACCTTGTCAAGGATTCACTTCCTTTTGAAGCCTCACTCCGGCAACACGTCAGTTCCCGCTCACCACCAAGGAATTTCGGCCAACAACAACAATCAACGCGATTTGCTCTTTTCTTGCTCGTTGAGGCTTGCATTGAAGAGAATTGCGAGCTGGTTTAGTTGGTGGTTTCCGGGATGGCTGTACAGTGGTGCGGTGGTTTCGGGGGTTGGTACAGGTGCAATTTGGCTGGTTGGCTGGGTGGTTTCGGGGGTTGGGAGTAGGTTAGATAGGGGTGGTCGGCCGGTTTCGGTGGTTAATGGGGGTGGCCGACCGGTTTTCGACGTGTTAACAGGCGGGGTTAGGGTTTGGCAGTGGTTGTTGGTGGCTAAGCTTATTTCACTAGGCGAAAAACCCCAATCCCCACCGGTTCAAACCATACATTCCCCACCGGTTTTGAACCGGTTTTGATTTGGGGGGTGCGAAATCCCAAAAGATTTCCCACCGGTTCAAAACCGGTGGCAAAAAACCATTTTTCCCACCAGTTTTGGAGTGAACTGGTGGCAAAAGCTTTTGATTTATGTTATAATTGAGCACTTTTCCCACCGGTTTTGGGGTGAACCGGTGGCAAAACTATAACATTTCCCACCGGTTTTCACACTGACCTACTTGCAAGGGAATTGTACCAAAAGTGCCCCAAAAAATTAATTTTTTTTTTTTTTTTTTTGCATTTTTTTCACTTAAATTGTACCAAATACTTATATATAATCATAATATACATAAAACACATATATTTGCCTCAATAACTTGTAATATTACACTTTAAAAACTGGAAAAAAAAGAATATAGCTGTTTTGCTGGGCCTGGTGCTACAACGTTGTGAACGATAATGCATGTTAACAAGATAATTATAAAAGCTGCCCAGAACACCTCCGATAACTCCAAGAACTATCACAACCAGGATATCATAACTACTGCTGTTCTGCTTCTGCTACTGCTACTATTGTTCTGCTACTGCTTCTGCTACTATTGTTCTGCTTCTGCTACTTTGTGTTCTGCTTGCTGTTCTGCTATTGCTATTCTGCTACTGCTTGCATTGCGTTGCTGTTCTGCTATTGCTATTCTGCTACTGCTTACAAAAATGTATTTGTTGGAATCTGTGTTAATAAATTAGAAGAAACAAATCCATTCAGCAAGGTGATTTTTCTAAGAGCATAGCATGGATACTGGAAACTATATGCAACAAAATAACCTAATAAGGAACCATAGAGTTGCATGATCCCTAAAGAGAAACATCAGACCCATAGTCTAAACTAGATGCAGCATTCTTTTTTGGAAGAAAGTAAAAGAACTTCAATCACTTGGACCACATGGCCAACAGCCCGTACTATTCAGACACCTCATTTTATATCGTGTTGACTGCTAGGTACTTGACACTAAAATAAGTGTGTAGACAATTTATTATCACATTTCGGACCAAAATCATCCAAAATCTTTCATAAAGCAGCTAAGTCTGACACTTAGACAAGATCTCCTATCCAATACAAATAGCCAATTCTGAGTAACATAGCTTCTTATCATCCATATGTTTTCCCTCTCTCCTTCTTAGAGACAGTGTATTAGGACTGCCAGTTCATAAATCTAAAGGTGTGGACAAAGCTAAATAAGGTCAGAGCCCATACGCTACAAGTAACAACTAACAGCGGTACGAAAATCCAAGATAGAAACAGATAAGGTCAAAGTGAGGGTTAAATAAATTTCAAAGGAAAAGAAATACTTGGATAAGAGAGAATGTGTGGTCCAAAAAATCTAAATTATATAAGATTTACCGAGAAAGGAAAGATGCCAAGTGAGTACGAAATTCATGAAATGGACCAAAACAGAAAGTAGATAGCAATTCATGGAACGAAGGTAGTAGTTAATAATAAAATGGCACTTTATATCATGATAGCAATAGAAAATTAAATGTTTGTAAAATAAGACAAAAGAAAACATCCATATAATAATAAAATAGACTGGCTTCATCAACAAAAACACCACATGCAATCCTAATAAGACAAAGGAAGATATCCATATACGAGTAATAGAAGAAAAAACTGCTTCATCATCAAAAACACCAAATACAATCCCTCCTAAAATAAAAATGCTAATATGATATTTTATGAGTCGGCAAGGAATTCGTTTGACAAAATTTGTTGGCTAGTTAGTAAGGCATACACTGAATCAACTTATTGCATGTTTATGCTTAGAAGCCTTAGACCTCAACTCGTTTGAATAAGTCGTCTCAAGACCAGCTGATTGCAGCAAAAATAAGTTGTGAGACCGATCTCATCATACAACTATAATTCTAGCGGCGAAATGCCTCTGCCTATTGCTAGAAATTTGTTTGATCACCTCACATGAATGATGCAAACTACAATATCCCAACAGTAAAAATCAGTTTCTGCTTCATAGTTCAGAGAAATTTAAAGTTCAAATGCTTCATTATTATACATATGCAACAAGCTATGATCAATCAAATGATCCAGAATTCACAACTTAAGTTAAGAAATTATTAATCTGATCGTATATATCCCTCTTCATTTTTAAGAATCTACATTTCTGTAACAAATGAACTCTTTTAATTATTCTTCCACAATTCAGATCAGATGAACCCGATTCGGATTTCATACACTTAACAGATTATCAAGCATATTCAAACAAATGATCCTCAGAAAATAACATATTGTACATAACTTTAACCGTATATGTTTACATCATCAAAATATGCATTAATAATATGAATTTTATTGTATGTCACCGACAAATCTTTTAGATCAAGCAAAGAAAAGACAGCAACAGTCCAAAT